ATATGTATATATATAGTATTCACTAATGCATTCATATACCTGGGTGGATATGTAGGTCCACAGCATATTAACTGGACCACCGGTATCGGTACCGAAGGTGAAGACTGCGATTCGCTTGAAGTCGTCGTCAGTCATAGCCTCGCCCGATGTGATGCGTGTTGCAGTGAGCTTCTTGAGTTCATTCAACTGCTTCACTAGGGCACGTGGGTGCAACAGTTGCCGGGCTAAATCCTGGTGGTCATTGAGCGCAGCAGCTACACAACATGGAATGGGCAGGAACGTTGAAATAACTTGAACAACTCCCTTCGGTGTAATATAAAGTGTGTGAGGGTTCGATGTGTGTTCAAACGCATTGTGCATACATTATACAATTTATATCATATATTGGCACGCCTAAGATGTCACACATACCGGCTTGTGTAAGCGGTGTCAGGCTAAACCGAATTTGATTTGGTGAAGAAGCATTGTCTCTATATCTACAGGAGGGCTATTTTTATTGAGCGCCTGTTCCTTTCAAGATTTATCATCTATATATGTTTATATCCAGTCACAAATCTTGTTTAGTAAGAAGCAGTGGGTATCAGGGTTCGAAAGCACCGAAGACAATTCAGTAGCACTCAGCCATCGAATAATCGTCAAAGCGATCACACATGCTAGATTAGATGGTGCTAAGGCACACTATCTTCGACCCCTGGCCGTTAGGTGTAACCAATAGATATTGCATTAGGTGTTGTAGCTGCAGTACACATCCACGCACACATTTGCGTATGAAAGGAGTGACCTGAGCATCGATTCATTCCGAAGCTCCAACCGGAAGGAGTGTAAAGCATATCGACACTCGGTGACCAACAACTAAAGGTGCATACGGGCAGGCATCGATCAAATCAACATGCGATTTCGACCAAAATGCTCTACTCTATTGGAATGCATATATATATATATAAATATATAAATATATAAATATATAAATATATAAATATATAAATATATAAATATATAAATATATAAATATATAAATATAGATAAATATAATAAATATATATATATAAATATATATCTATATATATATATATATATATATATATATATATATGTGTGTGTGGTAGGTAGGG